GGGGGGGGGGGGGGGGGGGGGGGGGGGGGGGGGGGGGGGGGGGGGGGGGGGGGGTACGCAGATTGCGGTGTTATTTTTATCTTGTGGTGGATGGATCCGTTGATAAAGTGGTGGTGGTGCCATTCGGTAAAAATTTACGGACTGACGGACCTCCGCACTCTTTGCGTCCACGTCTGGACCTCCTTTTGCCCCCCTTTCCGTTCTGAAAGAATGCACCTGTTGCTTTGCCTCTTTTTTTGTTCTTGTTCTTGTTCTGGTGCATCAGTGGAATCGCGTCTTCCAAGTGGGTGCGAGATTGCATCCAGGGCGGCAAGTACGGCTTCGCGCTGCCGGCAGTGATGGTGCTTAAAGAGGTCGGTGGCACCCGAGTGCGTGCTTGTGTGTCAAGAGTCTACCCGTTGTAGGGGATGTGCATCTTGCAATCTCACCACGTCGCCATAACAATTAGGACGGAAGCACACACACACGTTACAATCTTGGAAAATGTACATACAATCACACAGACATCACACAGCACGCGAGGGGATTTTTTTCTGTCTTCGCCGTGAGTGGGCGAAATTGTCATTTTTTGCTTTAAGGCAGTGGTTGCTGTTGAGCATCTTCGTTTGTGTAGATAGGGCGAACGTGGCTCGCTCGCTCTCTCTCTCTCTCCCTGTCGCCGCTTTTGTCGCGTTTGATGAAGCACGCAGAATGCCTGCCTATCGAAGTCTTGTTGGGGTGGTGACGCCGCTCTTTTTTTACTCCTTGCCTGCGCCGCGTATTTAATGTCTGCAAGTTGGGAGTTTGATGACGGAGGGCAAGCGTTGGCCGTATGCAAATGATACATCGTCCCTGTGTACACACGCCCTATCTTTGATGTCAGCAAACCGTAAGTTTGATGACGGAGGACAATACCCTATCCTCCCGCGCCCACCGCCACCGCCGGCGTGCTCCTCACTTTTTCGCATGATAACACCACGCGTCCCCCCCCGTGTACCCGCCTGGTTTTGTTCAGATCCTGTGCCAGAGGGGGCTCAATCAGCCGTGGTCGGGAGGCCTCAGCAGCTACTCGCTCATCAACATGATGATCACCGTCCTGCAGAGGGCGGAGGTGGAGCGCGCCCGGGCCCGAAGAATAGTGGCCTGCGCCCAAGCCGCGGCGCTCGCGGCCGCCGCGCGCGGGGCCCAGCAGGGCCCGCTTCCACTCCCGGCCGCGTTGCCGCTGTCCGGGCAGGTGGCGGTTGCGCCGCAACAGCAGCAGCTTGGCGTGATGGGCCCTCCCCCCCCTCCTCCTCCGTCGCCGCTGCCCCCGCCGACGCTGGTGCCGGCAGCAGCGGCGCCTGCGCACGTTGTAGCGGGCTCGGGCCACGAGATGGGGGCACCCGGCGGCGGCGGCGATGAGCTGGTTGCGCCGCTGGCGGAGGAACGGGTAGCTCAATACGTGGAGGGAGATGATGATGATGATGGCGGAGTGGCGGCGGCGGCGGCAGGAGCGGGTGGGCTATGTGCGACGAGGTCGAGCGACAGCGGCATCAGCGGCGGGTCTGCTTCCGGCTACCCCAGCCACGAACCCCTTACGAGTGTCTCCTCCGCTGGCGGGGATGCCGTCTCCTCCGCCTGCGGTTCCCCTGTCAGCGCGGACAGAGCGGGGGGCATGAGCGACGACGTCGAGGACATGGAAGGGGCCAAGAGTGAGAGCGCCCCGACCACGGTCGGCAGCATCGCAGAGCACCAGCAACCCAATCCTTCTGTCGCTGACGGCTCGTATGACGGCCGGAGCCCGTCACTGCCGCCGCCACCGCTCAACACCGTACCGTCTCAAAGAGAGCAGTCCTCGTTCCCGCCGGCAGCGCAGCCTGCAGGAGGCGTTTCCACGAAGGGGCCGGGGGACGGCAACGACCAAGGCGCTCTTGCAGACGCCGCCGCTTCGGCTGCCTCCGCAAATAGCAGCAGCTCTCCGGGCGAGAGCGTGGTGGGCGGCCCTCTCGCCCCGACGCCACCGGTGGGGATGCACGCCGTCCAGGCACCGCAGCAGCAGCAACAGCAGCAGCAGCAGCAGCAGCAGCAGCAACAAATGCAGCAACAGCAGCAGCCTCGCGTGCACCACCCGGCGGGTGTGGCCATGTTGCCGTCGGCCGCGCAGCAGGCGCAGTACAACCTGGGCATGAACGCCGAGCTGTTCAACATGAAGCACATGGAGATCAACCTCTCGCAGGAGGAGGTGGACCGCGCGGACTTGAGGTCAGTTTTCCTTTTTTTCTCGGCACCCGGAAGGGAGCAGTAGGCTATTGCATGTGTAAGCTCGAGGTGTCGGGAGATTTGTGGCAGCTCTGGACTGCTATTTGCTGCTGGCGTTCGTTGTGTCGGACTCCTTTCCTTCACCTGCTGTGGCAGCTTTTCTCCAACGGCCAACCACCTACGTTTCTTGGGAGAACAAGATAAGGTAGCCGGTGGCGACCTTGGAACCGATCGAGATTGGGAAGGGACGGTCGTTCAGGACGAAGAAGTACCGTGTCACGTGTACCTCAAGACCATGTCGTGCCTTCACGGAAAGCAGCCAAATCACAAACATAGTCACATATGTGTATTGGATCGCCATGAGCCAAGAATAGCCGGTAGCTACGTTTCGGTAGTCGAACACACCGTATCCTTTGAGGGGGCGTGAGATAAACCTGTATTCCTTTGCCTCAATTGTTTTTTTGGCGTTAAGAGCCGTGTCACGCGGTGTGATCGTCTGCATCCAGTGAAGTGATCGATCGCCGCACGCCTTGTTTAGCGCCAAATCAACTACCCTATCAGAGAGTACCACAGTCTTTTTCGTAAAGTGCAACAAGTCAAAACCACCACCGCCGCTCCTCTTGCTTTGCTACGTAACCTGTTTTTCCTGCGTGTCCCCTCAGCGGCATGACCCCCGGTGAGGTACTGGTCAGGTTCTTGGCGTTCTTCGGCCGACAGTTCGACCCCACGCGGATGGGCATCAGCGTAGGGCGCGGCGCCATCAGCAACCCGTTCGCCCTCACCCCGTCGGTGGACCCGCGGACGGGAATGCCGGTGATGGAAGCCCACGTGGTTATCGAGGACCCTCTGGACAGGGACCAGAATGTGGCACGGAGTTGCTTTGGCTTCCCGCAGGTACGTAGAGGAAATGGGGATCTTGTTCGCAGTCAGAGGATCTCTGGCGGTTCGCCTGGAGACTAGTCCAATGTTACCATTCGTCTTTTGCAGAATCCGACACGTGGTTCCATGTTCCCGTTGGCATTTTTGAGTCGTTTGTTGGACGGTCTTTGACCCCTTGCTTTTTGGCTCCATGTCGAAAAAATCAGCTATGACGACACAATTTCGAAACCCCGGTGACCGCACCCTGGTGAGTCCGGTGACAAGGCCCACCTCGATAGTCCGAATAAAGTGAGATGTAAAACGATATACCTCTACAACCACACCTACCGACCGTTACACTCAGGCGCCTAGCGGCCGTGGAGCGTGATTCACTCAGTCGGGCCGTCGAATAGTTCGAAAGTCTTGAGTGTTGGTGACAACAGCAGATGTGATGATTAAGCCGTCGCATGAGGTGCTTGAATGCTGTCGTTGTCGTCTGCGGTACAACTCTGGTCGAATATTTGCAGCGGCCTCTCGACGGGTCACGCTGGCACGAGACACAACAGGAACAGGCTATGGAAAGTATGGGGTGGCACGGTGCAAGTCGTGATGCAGCTGGGATGGTGAACAAGAACACACGCACGATCAATCCCTATCGCGTTACCCGTTTGGACTACAATAATAGATCAAGCCCAGAAGAGACATGCGCTGGGTTTGGGTTTGAGCTATGCTTTGTCACGAGAAAGCTAGGTGCCTTGTTTTCTAGAGGAAATTGCAGCCTGCCGACGATTTCTTCCTTGCCGCTGATCCGCCGACCTCCGCTGTGCCTGGAAATCTGTGTGCACAGGTCCAATGGCTGTTCGGGCAGTGCCTGTCGGTGTTGCAGGAGAGGGGAGCCGACATGGCAGAGTTCGACCGCGACGCTGACCTGCTGCAGATGCTAGTGTACTACTAAGATGGAGCGGGGAGCGTCCTCTCTCTCTCTCGCCTTTTGACCCGCACTCGGTTGGCGTTCTGAAGTGAACGCCGACGACTAGATTGTTTTTGATTGGTCGACCTCTGGTGGCTGTTCTATCGTCCTCGTTAGTGAGTTGAGTGTGTGCAAACCAGTACATTGCCGTGCTGGGTTTTTGTCTTCGGGTTGGGGTTGGGGGAGGGGGGGGGCGCTGATGTTGGTGTGGGTAAGTCTTTCGGTTTCGATTTTGCACTTTGGGTTGTTTGTTTCGGCCACGTTGTTTCATTTGATGATGTGTTTGGGGGGGGGGTGATGACTTTTGGTGTGTTTCTTGCTTTTGGGGGGACCCTCTTGTCGTGTCTGAACAAGCAGGCTTACGTGTATCCTGGTGATGCAAGCGTTGCGCGGGTAGGAACGCAGCAAGGTCCACCTAGCACGGACGGCGATCGGCCACGATTATTTATTGTTTGTTGTTCGCAACACCGCAGCGAGAAGGGCTACCAACACGGTAGAGTAAACTCGAGTGAGGGGTTCGGTTGGTTCCTCTGTGGTGGTTTCTACAAAACATCGGGGGAGGGGGGCGGGGGGGG